TTTTTTTTTTGCAAAAATGTCAATTTTATTGTCCTTGAATAGAATCATAAATTGTTGATCATGGGTATTTTGGTCTAAAATATACCAAAATGACCATTTTTGCAAGGATTTTTGAAATTTGCCATTTTCGCAAGTGGCTAGAAGAAAGTAGACATTTCTTGCAATTTTCACTTTTTTTAAACAGTGATATGATGGAAAATATGTTGTTAAAAAGTAAAAATTTTTTATTAATGTGATAGAAAATATTATTTTATTGAAAAATGTGTGATTAAAAATGAGTTTTGAAAGAATATATGTCAAATAGGAACTTATTTAAAAAAAAGTGTAATGTCATTGGACAATCATGATATTGTGCCACGTGACGATACATGATTTGACAATTTAAAAAATATATACACTTTAGTGGAACACTTTTTGAGCTCTCACACAATGTCAAACAAAATGTAACTCATGGAATGTACATTTACGTTGTGTTTGATTGACGCAAAAAAGAAAATATTTTCGTTGTTTTGAAGAAACCAAAAACCTACTTCTCCTGTAGAAAATGTTTTCCTTGAAAATAGACATATTTTCAAAAGTTGAAAAATAGTTTTAATAAAAAATAAAATAGCAAACAAGAACTCCAAAGCAGGAATTTGGATAAAAAACATTTTTTAGGAAAAATAAAGGCAATCAAACATACACCCATCTTGCCACGTAATCACGTGCATAACAATCTTCCATTATTGTATTTATTAATTCCCAATTATACCGTCGTCAGTCCATCTAAATCACAAACATGCCCTCCATATTACCTATATATATACATCGCCCCATTTCATTTCCCAGCAACTGACCTGCGACCCTTTCCAATTTCTTCACTGCAATTTGCTTCCTTTCAGGAACTGGCTAACCCTCAAGAAACTCTGGAGGATACTCAAAACGAAGGGGTGGTGATCACCCTATATGATGCCTTGAAAAAACGAGACGCTGAGGCAGTCCAGAAGATTCTTGCCCCGGATCTTGAGTGGTGGTTCCATGGCCCGCCGTCCCACCAGTTTTTAATGCGCTTGCTCACCGGCGCTGTCGAAGAAGACACCGATACCAGCTTCATTTTCCTCCCCCACAGCATCTCCGCCTTTGGCTCGACGGTGCTCGTTGAGGGTTTCGATCAGACCCGTTCCATTTCCTGGGTTCACGCATGGACTGTGACAGATGGAATAATTACTCAGGTCAGAGAGTATTTCAATACTTCGTTAACTGTGACACGCTTTGGAAAGACAGACCCATTGGATTACAGCAATATAACGTCACTCCATTGCCCTTCGCTGTGGGAGAGTAGTCTCCCGAATCGGGTCGGAAAATCAGTCCCGGGTCTTGTTCTTGCTATATAAAGATTGCCTGGACGAATAAAGTATAGTGGGCTTTGGTTTGTTTTCTATGGGCTGAGGGAGCACCGTTTGATCTTATATCCTGGGGGATGTAAAATTTTTAACGATTTGGATTTTGATTTGGGAGGTTTGATTTGTGTGTTTGTTGGTTGTTGTTGGAAGGGGACCTACGATGTTTGGGAGATCCTTCGACTTTGATCGTGTGTGTGTTTGGTTTGCAATAAAAAGATCTCTGGATGTGTTCAAATTTCTTGATTCTACTTAAAGTACATGTTCGATGAAAGAATTATATTAGCCCTTATTTGATATTTGATAGATTAAAATCAGATTTTTAGTAAATTTTGATAAAAATTGATAGAATATACGATTTAAAAGTTGTGGGTCTTATAAATTAAAATTAATTGTTAGCTTTGATTTAAATTTTAATCAGATTTTTGAATTTTGTTACTTTTTCATTTAGATAGAATCAACAAAAAAAATTAAAATATTATTGAGTCGAATAGTTGTCCCGCACGAAAACTTTGCTTTGCTCGGCTCGATAGACTTGTCCTAATCACGTTGGTTAATTAAGCTAATCAAAATCAACAAATCATTATGTTCTCGGGGTGCGTTTGTCTCCCATTAATGGGAGAAAAATAGAGTAATGAATAGTATTTTCTAAGAAATGTGTGGTTGAAAATTAAAGTAATTTTATTGATTTGTGTGTAGAATATTTTATTGGGTGAATGTATGATGGAGAATCTTACTGTAGCAAACAATTTTTTAGAATAATTGTAGACAAACATGAGCTCAATAATATCTATCAAACACACTCTTAGTGAAGACAAAATAGAATATTGTAAGAATATTCCTTTCCCATAAATTGTAGATAGTTTTTTTCGGTGCCAATTTATAGGCTTACGGAATCTTTCAAAATTAAAAGCCTCCATACTTCCTTCGTTCTACAAGGATAGATTTACTTTTTTTTTTTTTTTTT